TAATAATGTGCTCTGAGTCTCCCTCGGACTGAGAGAAGAAGAGAAGGGCAGACAGGCAGGAAGCAGCAACCACAACTTACAGAAAGAACACAGGAAACTAAATCCCAAAGTCAACTCAATTGTTATTCAACCTTAGATAAAGTATATATGAAATGGCTGATCATCTCCACTCTGTTAGAGACCGGAAGCAGAGACTGATTGTGACCAAATATAGGCTCAGTGACCACAAACAGGGCGACTCAAACAAACATGGCTGCCCCATGAAGAACAACTCTGTGCTCACTGCTCATGAGGGGAAGACAGAGATGCACTTTCTCCAGAGGAGCTGCACTTCAGCCACAGCCTGAGACACACACACACACACACACACACACACACACACACACACACACACACACACACACACACACACACACACTTCTATAGTCATCAAAATGTCAGACTCATTACATTGTGTCATTATCCTCTGCCTTATTAACGGTACTATAATATCATTAACCAGCCTATATACTTTAAGTAGAATTAAACAACAACATGTCATTGTTTTGTACATCCACTGGTTTAGGAACAACACTTTACGCCTTTTCATGCCAATAAAGCAACATGAACTTGAACTTGAGAGAGAGAGAGAGAGAGAGAGAGAGAGAGAGAGAGAGAGAGAGAGAGAGAGAGAGAGAGAGAGAGGTAGGGGTAATTTACGGTGGCCCTGAAGTGTAAAGCACAACAACAAATCAGAAAAACAACAACAAAACACAGAACACAACAACATTAACTTCTAACGGGAAAGGTAGGTATACCTCGACAATAATCATTGCTGATTGGACGAATGCAAAGTCCGTTTTTTTACAGTAACAGGGAAGATATGCTTCATACCAGGCAGAGAAAAGGTTAACGAAGGAAGAGGAGCAGGATGATCAAAAGTATCATGATGTATTGCCCAAATTGTGGTAATCAAATTATTTTCTGATAGTAGAGACTAAGTCTGAATCACCTGTTGAACTCATGTTTTGAAATCAACACCCGAAAGTAACATAACCTTCATGTTAAAAAGACAGACATTGTGTTCGTCCAATCAGCAACAATCCTTGTCCACTGCAGATACCTACCTTTTCCTTTAGTAGTTAATGTTGTTTTCTCTTATTTCTTGTTGTGTTTTCTAATTTGTCGTCGTGCTTTGCATTTCAGGGCCAACCTAATAATGTCTGTGTTGGGTGTAATTGCCCTTCAGGTTCCCCTACCTTTGTCTGTCTCTGAGTTTTTAAGCCTTTCATCGTCTCGCTCTGAGAATTGTCTCTCTCAGCAGTTTTCCTCACAGTGAAGCTGGCTGTTTGCCAGTGATAATAAGGCTGAATATTTACATACAAAAGTACTGTCCTGTTGCAGCTTACTTTATTTCAATCTGTTGATGGAACTAGTTTTTTAAAATGTTTTTCCAGTTCATGTTCTTGAAGTTGTTGCTAGTTTATTAATAAAGATATTGAAGAGAGTAGTGGACAAGTTGAATCCCTGACGTACCCCTCTTCCTTGTTTACAGAATTCTGTTCTTTGGTTTCCTATTTGTATACAGCATTCAGAGTTTTTGGATGTGATTAAGTCATATCATTTGTCTCCAATTCCACACTCAGACAATCACAGTGAAATAACAGTCCGACAATATAACTCTAACAGAGTGTCTGACTACTTCTTCAGTGTCTGCATTTGAAAAGATTCATAGAATATTGTGTCATTGAGGGTTTAAACTAAAACTTTAAAGTACTGGGCAGGTATACGGACAGATGGAGAGACATGGAGGAGGACGTGGAGGACAGGTTGAGGAGCTCATCTGTTTTTTTCACAGCTATTGTTCTGCTGTTGAGTAATGTCTGTTGTTCAAATAAGGAACAACATTCATGAAGTAAGCACTCAAGTCCTCAACAGCAGATGGAGAGGGAATTCACACTCAAGAAAAACATGACTCATGCCTCACATTGGTGACGTGTTTTTCATGAACAGTGTTGTATCATTAAAGCAGTCGGGGTTAAGAAGTACGGTGGCCCTGAAGGTCAACTGTCTAAATATTTCACCTGCTGCAAATATATTTCACCTGCTATTTAGACAGTTGACCTTCATGGCCACCGCAAAGAAGTCAGCAGTTACTTTAATATATTTAAGTAAAATCTGGATCTGAAGAAATGACAAATGCTGGATAGTAATTTCTTCCCTTTTCTTCTGCTAGTGGGCAATTGTGTGAGTCTGGAGATGTTAATTAATGAATACCCCCATCCATGTCACACACAGTTTAAAAGTATTCACTGCCAATTTAAATGTGAAAACAGGCAAGATAAGTGAATGCACTTGGACTGTGGCACCCCTCTTTTGATGATGTTCACTGGAAGCTATCTGTATTTGAAGCTATATCCTCTATCAGTTATGAGCTTTAGTGGCCGCTGTGGCTCAATTGAGTCAGTCATTTTTCACTGTGGAAGGTTGGGGGTTCGATCCCCAGCTCCTGCAGCTACATGTCTGATGTGTCCCTGGGCAAGACACTTAACCCCAAGTTACTCCTGCTGCTCTGTCAGCGGTGTATGAATGGTGTTAGTTACTTCTGATGGTCTCTTTACATAGCAGCCTCTGCCATCAGTGTGTGAATGAGAAGGTGTGATTGCTGTGTAAAAACGCTTTAAGTGGTCAGAAGACTCCAGAAGATCCCGACAAAGGCCGAGCTAAAATCAGAATTCAAAGGGAAAAAAATCACCGGAAGAGTGGAGAGTGAGAGCAGGGCATGACGAAAACAGAAGGAGGAACAGTTTGATACACCCTCCTCTGTGTCTGCTTCACTGCGCCTCTCTTAAAGGGTCAGTGTCGGAATCTTAACACAGAGAGCAGAGGAGAATTGTAAACGCTCGACCATGTAGAGACAGAAATGACATGCCGTCGGGTAAATAAGATGAATAACATGAGCAGGGCTCGACATTATAAGTGTCTCGCTGTCCCGGATGAATGAATGACAGAGTCCAGCTGACTGCACGTTCAGCTGACGGCTTCACTGCTCTCTCTCCCGCTCGCTGCTCTCCAGTTGTTCACTCGCACACACATGTTAGCGCAGGTTTTCTCTACTAATAAACACGTTTGGTAAAACTGTTTTAAAACCATCAGATCCCGACAAAGGCCGAACTAAAATCAGAATTCAAAGGAAAGAAAATCACCGGAAGAGTGGAGAGTGAGAGCAGGGCATGACGAAAACAGAAGGAGGAACAGTTTGATCCACAGTGACAGACAGCTGGAGGAGCTGGAACACGTTAAAGTTAAAGACTAGATCCTGGTAAAGATAAAAGTTATTCACAAAGCATCTTAGCCCTTAAGAGAGCTCCTAAAGTAAAGATCTAAGGATGAAGAGTTTCTCACAGAGAAGAAAGAAGGAGAGATTCCAGCTCTATCACAGCCTCACATTAATATCAGATTAAGTAGACTCTTACAGTTACCAGGATGGTGAACAAACATGAAGAATACACAATATTTTTTTATAATTAGAGCTCAATTAATGAAATAAAAGTTGTAATTTAATCTTGCATCAGAATTGTTCAAGATTAAATTGGTGGCTGTTATTTTTCCGAATCGAAAGTAATGTTCCTGGACCAGTGATCTTTGAAAACTAGTGGCCCGGAGGCTTTACATATGCCGTCAATCTTTCTAGGGACAAGACGCTCTACATTTCTTGGAGTAAGTGAGGGAGGCCTATCATTTATCCACTGCTTCATACATCTCCTGGCCAGGAGTAGGAGTTTGCTGCATATAGCATTAAATTGGATCTACTCAGGGACAGTGTTTTGGAGGGTAAGCTCAGTATGAAGAGACACAAAAGATTGTTCCGAAGAAATGTTAAATGTTTGTTGAAGTTGCTGAAAGGACAGCAGTGTGTTGTCCCCCAATGAGCCTAATCCCTTTTGTGTGCCAAATATGAAAAACACTCTTTCAGTGTAACAGCAAAATCTACATTCTGAGTCAGCGGGATTAATGCAAATGATGGAATGTCTTTCTCCAAATATTGTTTCATATCTTGCCAGACTCTTATAGGATTAGCCTTAATTTATATATAATATCTTCGTTTGTCAGTTTACTTAGTAAAGAGAAGCGAGTAGGATACCATTCATCCATGCTTGTTTCTGAGTTTAAGTGAGACCGCAGCCATTCCCAAATTATGCGGGTATGGCAGGCCCAATTATAAGACCTCAAATTGGGAAAGGCTCCTTGTTCTCCAGGTAGTTATAAAGTGTGAACGATTTAAGTGTCTGTCTGTTTCATCTTTGTCCTCTGTGCGTAATGACACACTCGCTCAATCTCGCTCGTCCGTCCGCTATGAGCTCTGTCTCCCTGTAAGGTTGTTCCGTTTTGTAGTTATTAAAAGAATAATCATCTAAAATTCCAAACTATAGGAAAACATCTAGTTATGCTGCTCTGTCCTGGATGATCAAACATCATTGGTTTGGGGGGTGGGGGGGTAAAGCGGTAATCACAAAGTGAAAGTCCTTCTTTTTCTGTGGACTAAAAAGACATTTTGAACTGAACTTTCGTAGATCAAATTGCATATTTCGTTTGTTTGGGACTTTTAGTTCATTGTGAATTGATAAAGGGGTAAATTAAAGGGATATTTTTGTTAGGGTAGCAGTGTATTCAGCACAGAGCCTTTATCAGCGCTTTGTTTGTCTGAAGTTTGATTTCTGTTTGAGTGTGCTCCTTTTTTTCTGTTTTGAATTAGACCTATCCTAGAACCCACAATGCAACATAAACATTTACAAAAATGTGGACTACAAAACGATTATCGATTACATTTTTTATAATTATTATAATTATAATATAATCTATAATTATTATTTAATACTTTTGACTATCTAAAAACAGCAGGATGAGATGTGTTGTTAGAAACACTACCTACACTTGTACAGAACAAGCAAATATTGTTTTATTGAGCTTTATATATTGAAGACATTTTCTCATCCCCATCTCTCTTTCTCTTTGTTTAGTTGTGGTCACGCTACCATTTGCAGAGGGGGAAACTAAAGATGTGACAGTGAAGAGTGGTGACACATTGAAGCTGCTGACTGATCCCTCTCTTAAACTGCAAGGTGACTCCCTCATCCTGTGGTACATCCAGTTAATTGGACAGAAAAAGAATAAGACCATCGCCAACTATGAAAGTGGGACATTGAAGCTTCCTCACCCAGAGTGGTCCAAAGAAAAACTCCAGCTGGATGAGACATTGGGGTCTATTACTATTGGGCCGCTCAGCTTCAATGACAGCAATATTTTCCACGGAGAAATCATTGACACAAACAGCACGGTGCACAGGTTCCACTATAACGTCACTGTCGTGGGTGAGTTTCTTTTTAAAGATGTTAAATAATGGCAAAGGATTTTTTAAATAAATGAAACCTGTTAAAATGATCTTTGATGTTAGCTCCTTTAATGATTATTTAAGTTCTCAGTTTAGCACACAGCTGATGGTACTGATGGAACTAGTGTAACACGCTGAAAACGCTTTTTCATATTTTTTTTTCTTCATTTTGTGATATCAGTGTGTCTGGTTAAAGATTAAGACACTGGCCTTTAAGAGAGGCGCAGGGAAGAAGACACAGAGATGTGTGTAGTGTGAAAACAAAGCTTGTGTAAAGCTGTGGACATTTTTCTTTTCATAAAAGTTTCAAATAAGTGAAGATGGACGAGTTCTGACGGGTTCATCTCAAGGGTGCAACACTAGCATTAGCACAACTAGTAAGCATCAACAAAACAAATCATGTAGAAAAGCAGAGGGTTCTTGGGAGAATTTGCAAAAAAAGTTTAAGCAGTGCATTCTTCTAAAGTTAGTGGAAGAATTAGTTGAAGATTGATAACAGCTCTCTGACTCTAAGCTTCATCATGTTGTTGTAGTATTGATTGAATCTATCTTTTTATCAAAATCTGTAAGCAGATTTTTCTGTGCAGTTAATTGCAATCCAAAGGATACTGGAAAAAAAGACATTAAGCAGATTTATTAACGTCAAATTCATGCTTTGTCTTCTACAAGACCAGACAAGAGAGACAAAGAACCGTTACATGCTTGTTTTATTTCATGAGGTTTGGATTGAGTCTTTTTGTTCTAATCTCATAATATCAGGGGAAGCTCACACAGTATTAAACTTCTCACTCTGATTTTAAGATTTTAAAAAGTGATAAAACTTGCAAACATGAGTCACCCAAAGGTTGAATTGTTTCGGTGAAAAGTATTTGTATTTTTTAGGACTTTGTTTGCAATAGACATGGACTGTTTAATTATCATATAGCGAGGTGCATGTGTGAACAGGCAACAGAGATTTCAGTGCAGCTTTCTCTGAATTTATTGAGACATTTTCAGGAGCACAAAAGGCTGAACTGTTTTTACTACCGCTCACACTAACCATCTCCCTTTGTCTTTTTTAAAGATGATCCAAACCCAGTGACTGAAAAACTCCCAGAAAGCAGGAATGATCCCAACAACCAGAGGAGCCACATAGGCCTAGGAGGTGCTTTACCAATTGTCTGCGCTATCGTTTACTGCTGGGAGCTGTCGGCCTGATGTTCAAGAAAAAGACACAGACGGAAAAGAAAGGTAATTAATAACAGAGTTAGAACTACAGTTTGATCAGCTACTCCTCTGGGCCAGATTGTTAAAAAATTCAATCTAGATAACAATTATCCAGATTAGGACATATTTTTTTGTAATCCAGCTAATCCAGCTCACTTTTATCCTGGTATTGCACTTTGACTAAACTTCATAAATATTAACCAGAGAGTTTCACCTGGTGAACTCATTTCTTGTTATCTCTTCTTCACAGGAAATACTCAGGAAGTCCTTGACATTCCGCTTCAAGACATTCAACCTTAAGGAGAAAGAGACGAGAGAAGATCCAGGATGAATTTGACCAAAAAGATAAATCTGTCATCAAACTATTGCAGAGGAAACACACTGTAGCTGCATTTCACACATGTTGTTTTGTGCCTTAAAGGAAATCATCAGGTTTAATCAGGATATCCTCTATAAGGATCCTGCTGTCTGCTCTCTCAGAAAGAAAAAGGGAAACTGAGTAAATCAGCAGCATATAAAGGATCGGTGTCACAGCTGGAAAGTAGTCCGGCACAATATGGCCTCGGCAAGCTCCAACCAAAGGGACTCAAAGATTCCAGAGTTGAATTTGTTTGTAAAATGGTGTGTGTGGTCACCTTTGTATCATTGACCCTGAAGTTGCTGTTGTGTCTCTTCTCCTGTCTGACTATAATAATGATAATACTACTAAATAGAATAAGCCTTTATTTGGGGGCGCCAGTGGCCTAGTGGTTAGTGTGTGCGCCCCATGTTTAGCGGTTGTAGTCTTTGAAGCAGGTGGCCAGGGTTCAATGAAGTCCTTTTGCTCCTTTCCTGCGTGTCATTCCTTCACTCTCTCCCTGATTTCTGACTATCCACTGTTCTCTCAAATAGAAGTAAGGTGTAGGTATTTTTGTGTGAGTCACAGGCAGCACAAGATGATGAGCTTTCATCTCCGCTCTACTTCCTGTCTAGAGCCGTGGCTAGACGGCTGAAGCAGGTGCAGCAAAGAGAAAGACTTTGGACCCTGAAGTGAAGTCTATATAAGGAGTGGTATGTGGGGAGTGAAATTAGCTTCATTATAATCTTCGTGTTACAACTTAAATTATCCCAAAATACATTTGTGATATACTGGCACACTTTTTGCACATTTGTAAAGACCGAGAAATGACTCAGGGACGTGAAATGACTCAGGGACGTGATGTTCTAGTTTGAAGTTTGTTTGTCCAAGTGAAGATTGGACGTTGTGTACTTCACCCTGCTGTTGTCAGTAAAACTGTGAGAATCTTTCACATTAAACAATATCTTCTTTGTAATACCAATGAATGTGATCTCTACACCACTGTTGCTATGAGTGATTGTATTTATGTAGGATGACTGTAAAGGATTTTTAGTCATCTCAATTGATTGCACTGATGTTTTTCTTAATGTATTATTTATGTTTAGCTAAGCGCTCCTCATTCAGTTATGGGAGATACAGAAATAAAAATGTGTTGAAAACATCTTTGGTGTGTGTGTTTAATGAATTCTGTCCTGTTAGCTTGTGGCTGTTTGATCCACATTAGAGTTTAAGTGACTTTTTTTTTTACAACCAAACAAATGAATGTCAAAGATTTCCATCCTCCATGACTTCCATCACTTTCCATGTGAGTATAAAACCTAGAGAGGACACATTATTCAACACAGTTTAAGTTTCTGATATCTGTTTTTTTTTCTGACAAATACATTTTACTCCCTACATTTTAACGCAATTATCTTAACTCCACATGATATTTTAAACAAAGGCTTGTCACTTTAGCTTTAATGCATCAGAGGGGAAAACAAAGTAAAACAATATAAAACACAAAAGAAGGTGAACGGAGTAAATTATAAAACACTGTAACACCTTGTCTCTCCAAAACGTAGGGATGTTATGTAAAATGTAAATAAAGACATAATGATTTCATATTAAACCACATATTAAGTTGAAAATAGCACAGACACTGAGAAATGTCATTGTTATGGAAAATGACATCTGATACCAGCAGCATGTCAGGACTGAGTGCTGATAAAAAAGCTGGATGGTCCCTCTGGTCTTTAGCTCGGAGGACCCAGTTTCCATTAGTTCCAAACTGAATTTTGGGGACAGAAAACTTGGACACAGTCAATCTCTAGATTCTTTAATAGGGATGTGGGGGTTGTGCAAACATTTTTCCTACCCCAAGTGATGGCATGACAGAAAATATTTGAGAACTATTCTCTTGATTATCTTAAAACACTGACTGATACCACTGAACAAATAGTTTAACTAAATCCAACGAGTGTCTATAGAACACATGACCCCTAGCCTTTATCAAATTTAGACTTCAGGTCCTTTCTTATCACTGACCTACCACCAGGAAGAAGAGTAACCCTGTTCAACCAAGACTACTACAATGCCATATATGGAGCATTGCGACCTCAAATAACCTTTGGAGGGTAGGGGTGGAGTGTACCTTCTTCCACTAGGCTATGTCTCCCCTCCCCTCCCACATCCCTCCTTCCCTCTCCTCCCTCTAAGAGAGACAGCACAGCTCCTGTTTCCTCAGTCTGACGCCGGCTGTACGCGAGGGTAGACGATGCGCCTCAGCAGGATTTTTGGTGATTGGATCTCGGTGCTTATATGTAAGTAGCTTCTTTAACACTGGTATCAAGGGCATACAATGCTTCTTTTCTATTCAGCAGATTATTTAAAAAAGGGTGAAATGATTTTGTTCTCAGCAGCAGCGCGTATCCTCTGCCGAAATATCTCGAGTTTAACTTGTGTCAACCTCCCGATTTATGAGTGTTAAAAGTTGTAACCTGATTGTGAGGATCTGTTTTACGATAGGCTACTTACAGGGTGTCTCTCAAAACCCGGATTTTACCGAGCGGAAACATGTCTCCATAACCTGCACAGTGGATGATGACATATTTAGACATGTGCGTCCCGCTTGTGATTGTGATGTGGTTGTGGAGATAACACTACGAGGAGACTACAATAGCGGAAACTTGAGTCGGTTGGATAACCTCTTTGAAACCACAAGTGGATACTGGGTTCGTGATTGAGTGCTATACAGTTCATCATTGGGCACAGGAGGCATTGAGGGATCACTGTGACGTAGTAGGCGCATATGCTCGTTTCTCTCCTTTAGCATTTGAGGGACGCACTTGAATGTCTGCAGTGTGCCGTTTTCTGCTCATAGCCTCTGCCTGATTTAATCCCATATTATAATATCAGACTGTTATTATAAATATCATAATGCATTTTTTAGGTTACACAGAGGATTCATTGTTGTCATAGTGACTAGAAAGTTTAAGCATTGTAGGGAAATGCTTCAATCCTTAAAAAAAAGGGTACTGCCATGTTACCACGAACTCTCTGAAAACAGAAATATCTGTACTTATGGTCTAAAATGTAACTGTTAAACGTTTAAGATCAAGTGTGGGGGAAGTGGAGGAAAACACGTTATAGGCTAATTGTAAAGTTAGGCTGCATTCATTTACTGTTGTGAAAACAACAGGTTTGTAAAACCCTGGTGTAGTGTCTTTCTTTAAGGCAGTCTGCTTCAAAATTATTATTTATTATGACATTGCAAAATGTAGGCTACTCAATAAATAGTCCCATCTATAAAAAACTCAGGATTTGGTAGCCTACTTTTGACAGGGCCCCAATAACTTGTTTTTGTCTTCCTAAATTGTGCTGTTTTGATGTCTCAGGGCAACTATAGGTATCCCCTATCATAAAACAAGGAGTAAGGTGTTTTACCTGCTCTTTGTTAAGGGTCTTGAGATAACATTTAATTTGACGCTATACAAGAATAAAGATTGACTGATTACAGATGATCTGATGTTGTAATGGTGGATTTTAGCAGAAGAAAATGTAACGCGTTTTAAAGAAATGATGTCAAACTTTTAAACCGAAGGATGTAACAGGTAGCCTTTATGAGTAACACATTTTTAAAAGAAAAGACACCGAAGTGAGATCCATTTCTTGTGTTACTTACCCCAACATCTCTCTCTCTCTCTCTCTCTCTCTCTCTCTCTCTCTCTCTCTCTCTCTCTCTCAGTCTTTGTCTTAGCCGTCAAAGCGAGTGAGAAAAAGAACGTGAAAGCTGGAGAAAAAATCACTCTGCTGACCGGATTCACTGATCTACGTGGTGAATATTCTGTTTGGTTGTATTTGAGGAATGGCACCCAAAAAGACACACTCATCAAATGTGATGGAGAAGAAGTGGAGTGTACGCTCTCTAAGATGTCTGAAGGAAAACTGGACAGAGAAAATGGCTCTTTGACATTTGGGCCGCTAAACGTGGCGGACAGCGGCGTTTACGTGATACAAACCACTAATGGAGACAACAAGTTTCTTGAAAAAGACTATGAAGTCACTGTGTCTGGTGAGTGTTTTAACATGCCAAAATGTGTGTGTTCAGTTTGTGTATGTGTGTGTGTGTGTGTGTGTGTTCTTCATGGGGGGAGGATGAATTCTTTATTATGTGTGACATAGGCCTACACTAAAAATATTAAAATATGAAGAGAAGAACAAATTGTTGTTGAGAGTTCACAACAATGTCATTTAAATTCACAAGCAAAAGACTCAAAAAAGACTTCAAAAAGACAACTGGAGAAGATCTTAAACACTTTGACACATGAACTACTGACAATTTTCAGACATTTTATGGTAACTCCTGATTTACCGATTCTATTTATCCTGAATCGTCTTTCAAGCATCAAACTCAAAACTGGAGGTTATCTGTAGGTTAAGTGGGCAGCATATCAAAGACGAGTATTCAATAATGGTGAGTGTTTCTGTGTTACTATCACATGTATAAGAAGTTTATGCAATACAATAACAACAGTAGAATACATCAAAAGGACAACTGAGTATAAAGCAGAGAAACTCAACATGAACATCATCAACACCTCTCGGTCTCACTCACCATGATTCTAACAGAATATTACCGGTTGCTTTCACACATCAGCTCATCCGGACTTCACAGGGCCTGATCCACAAAAGGACTTCTCAGCTTTTGCATCCTGCAAATGAGACAAAAAGGCACCGGAAAAAATCACAACGCAAAGGGTCAAATGCACTCCGAACTGTGCTACAGAGCAAAAAGCGTCCTGCTTTGGTACTGTCTGCGCTTATATAAATAAACCATTATGGATTAATTTCGGCCAAGCTGGACCCTTTTTTTTTTTTAAGAAAAAATTTTTGATTTTTTTTTTAAAGAAAAAAAAAAGGCCCAATTTAAAAACACCTCCACTGACATCCACAAATATTCAGAGTGACAATTCTGGGATTTCTTAAGGAGTGAAGACCATGTGACAGGTTGTCTGAAATGTTTGTGTGTCTTCACTGTTTTCTGGTTTTGGGAACTCACACCTAACCAGCTGAATTTCAGGTTCTCGCTGGTCTTCTCAGCCTCACAGCTGCTAAAAAATCTTGTTGTCTCTTTTTGTTTTTGTTTTACAGAGTCTAAGACATCCACTGGATCCCAAAACTCTGCTCACTACCAGAGGGCTCGCCTGACATTTATCTTAACTGCTGCTGCCTGCGTTGTGTTGCTCTTGTGAGCAGCTCAGTACGGAAAATCTCAGGGTCAGTACTTTAATGTATATAGGTAGTATATCATCAACACACATAATGTTACTGCAACAGAATCACCTAAATCCCAGGATCTGCTCGAGGAAGTGCCAAACATGAAGGAAGCTGTTGTAGTTTATTATCTGTGTTGAATCCACTTTGTTTTCCATATTGATTTTTTTTCACCACAGACAGATGTATCAAATGTTTTTCATACAGTCACTCACTTGTGCACAATAATGACAACAGGAGGAGATAGTTAATGAAATAATCAGACATGTGAATCAAAGTCAACAGACGACACACATTCAAAAGGACATCTACGTACATGATGATGTACCGACATAGTAAATAAAGAAATTAAAAATACCTAAATGAAAATAAAAAAGAGATCAAGTAATAATATTTATAATAATAGTCAAATGCACTTTTAATACTTCTCCTCTGCCAGTGGGTTGTTCTAGTTAGTTTGAGCTCTTCAAAGTTCAAAATGGGAAATCGTGCTACAAACAAAATGTAAGAAAGTGTGACCAAGCTAACAGTTAGTATACTTTGTGGTTTATAACTGTTGAATTAAACCTCTGATTAAATCCATGAAGCCCTTTATTTAAATCTGGTGCATGTACACGCTGTCCAATAAAAGTGAACCTGAAAAATAAAGACAACAGTAGAGAGAAGCCAGACAGAGGTAACAAGTTGACTTTATGTTGACTGCTGCATCCAACCTGTATTAATCACACTTTAACAAACCCTAAACACAGTCAGCCTGGGTTTTATTTACATCTTAAACTACTGCTCCTTTGTTACCACAAGACATTAATCATGTTTTTATTTGTGTATGACAGGAAATGTGAGCCCGCCTTCCTGCCTATGCAACCACCCAGTGTGTGATGCTCAGCCATCGGAACATTATCTCCCCT